TGTAATAACAGGGCTCCAACCCTGTTATCAGTGTTGTATTTAGCTTGAAATAATTGCAGTCTTAAGCCATCATACGTTCTAAACAGGTTTATTTAAATATAGCTGGTATCGATAACAGTCACGTCCCCACTCCTGCAAAGGAGGGGGAGTGGACAAGACTCCGGACAATTCCGGCACAGCTTATCAGGATCACATTATGATGAAAAGGACACGCAAAACTATGCGCTCTTAGGTTTTATACCAACATAGATTTTAGGTAAAAAGGCACACTGTCGTACATTCCTTGTAACCTTACGCATTAAGGAAAATCATTTCTGCTTCCTTATATGGAAGTGAACGAGGGAACGATTCTAAAAATAACTCTTCCCTTGAAATATAAATCTATTTATATTTCAATGGTATGTTTTCAGCCTTGAATTCCCAAAATAGAATCTCTCATTGCATCCGAAACTTTCTGTTTAGGTATAGTTCAGCCGGAGTTTTTTCACAAGCAAACGGTGTGGCGCGATAGTGAAAAAAGGATTCTTTGAACTTATTCCTCCAGATTTCCTGGTTCCCTGGATATTGATTTTAGTCTATGCTTGAACATTTCGTTCAGCTAAGCCATTTGTGGCAGGTGTGATGAAACGTTGGGAAATACCGTAATTAGAGCAACATAGTTTGAATTCATCATTTGTAAAGATAGTAGCATTGTCAAAAAACATTATTCTGGGAAACATTACCCTGTTTAAGACAGTAAAACCCACGTGTCCTGTCCAAAACCAGTTTAGGACGTCCGAAACCCCAACCCTGCTTTAAACATTAAAAAAAAGAACTTAAAAATAAAAAAGAAAATGTGCCAAGTGATTAAAGCAAATGGTCGCCATCACATTATGAATTTATTTGAATCCATTAGTGCATTCTTAAAAAAATAAATAATTTTCATAAATAAAAAAGTCTGTAAAAAGTAAAATCATTTTCTTAGGCAGGCGTTTCAGCTGGGCACAAAATAAGAAGTTCACCGATGATTTTAATTTCTAAATTACAAGAATGTGGTGAGGCTTAAAATATGGTCAGAATTAACTAAATTTAAAATAACAGAGAAACTAAACTGACACATAATTGAAAATGACAACGAAATTGAAAAATTTACCTGATATTTGCGAATGCGCTGCAACTGACCAAAATCCATCAACTTTTCCTCTTCGGCCACTTCATTTTTTAGAGGCGTACCATTGGAATCTTCCGTTGATCGAATTAGCTCGGAGATTCTGGGTGTGGGAGGGGTCCTCCTCTCCGGCAAATCCTGATTGCCATCCTGGGAAGACATGGACCTGACGTGGTTGACAGAAGGTTTGATCTCGCTGCTGAAATGGTAAAGGCCATTTTTCTTTAGGCTGGAAGTCTCTGGGGTGTTCGGGGGCTTCTTTCGGGGTGGGGGATAGCGAGGAGCTGTCTTCGTGATGGCAACAAACGAGTCCGGGACATCTACAGCCATCTCTCTATGACGAGGAACCTGCTGTACGAGGCTGCTCATCGTATTGTTGTTGTTATTGATAGCAACATTGGATTGCAGTTTAGGATTCTTCATAGCATCTTTCGAAGCGTGGTCTTCAACAATGGAAGTCTCTGGACTCTGAGGCTCAACTATCTTCGTAACTTCACAACCTGCAGACAAGAACACAGGGAAAGAAATGAAAACCTTGAAACAGAAGATCACATTTTAATTTTCACTTAAATTTACTTCACAAAAAGAGAAAAAATTTAAACACCGGTGTAACTTGCCTCTTAATCAATGGTTTTTCAAGCCCTTACGTATAGTTGAAATGGTGATAATCTTTTGATCAATTAGCGCAGATAAGTACTTTAAGACAACAAAAAAACATACTTATTCTGAACACAGATTCGTGCCGCTTGCTTAGTCGGGAGAGGGTCAAGTTTGACCACTTTTCTACAATACATACAACTATTTAAGTAATTTTAAGATGCATTTATAAAACTCGCTTCAGTCATGACAAGTCCATGAAAAAAATATTAATAATCATTCATTAGTTTTTTGCTATTTAATTTAATGGTTGAAGCAACTTTAACTGTTAAATAACAAAAATCAAAAATTTAACGATATCGATCGTAAAGTGTCTGAGTCATAAAGCGTCAAAAGTTTTATTTGACGAGAATAATTCCATCAATTCCATTCAAAATTTAAATTTTTTTTTTAAAACTAATAATATAAATGACAAAATCTTAAAATTTCTAAAATTTGTTGTTCATTATTAAATTAAATTTTAAAAAAATACTAATTTTTATTGTATAGAATTTATTTACTAATACAAAAACCAGACAGTTTACAACTAAGCCATCAGCCCAAAGCAGTAGAAGTTCAAACAAAGCATTTATCTATATGCTTAAAATTCATAAGTTGTCCAGAGTCACAAAGAGTGCAGACAGGCACTAAAATGCCATTTGTCAATTGCAGTTCAAAGGTCAAACTCTATTAAGGGAAGGGGATGCCTTCATAGAAATTCTAAGCAAATCAATTAGCATTTCATTCTTCAAAGAGTTTCTGTATGCTGTCATTAGTCTATTGTGACATCCTGATCTACAGCATAAACGCAAACTTCTCAATTTTTTTTAATTTTGAAATGTAGCAGTTTACTGGATACCTAGAGTTTACTAGCCAACTCTAAATATTCGATCACCAATGGAGAGCCGGCTAGTGGAAATTTCGAGCCCTCATTTTATAGAATAAAATTCAAATACCATAAACAATATTAGAAGCTTTGTAAGGAATTTTAATTCACAAGTTTTAAATTTAAACAAAAGGCACCAATATCAATCCACACTATTAATCGACAATCCACCCAACTGTGTAGGTTAAATGAAAGGAATCTGCAAAAACAATACCTGATGAGCGATGTTGGCCTGTAATATATTTAAAATAAAGCATATAAGAACTATAAGTATAAAAAGCGGGGAATTTATCATAAAATCAAGGCAGATCAGAAAGCAGTTAGTTGGTGAGCGATAGTGGGGGTATGGAGTTCAAAGAGTGGAGGAGCCCACAAATTTTGAAGAATAAAATTAGTGTTTTAGTAATTAGGAAAAGTTTTGACACAGAAAATGTTTGCTAACTTAGCATCTGTACTCTTCTGTAGTAATTTAAAATTTAATAGAAAAAAGTAATTTTTTTTTCTTCTTAGTTCAGTCGTCGGGATGTTTTAAAAATTTTTGGGCCTTTCTTTCCCCATGCACTTTTTTTTTTGCTGCCTAGACCGGCCCTATTGGCAATATCGGCAGATTTTTCAATTTTTTTTTTAATTTTTTGAAATTTTATAACTGATACAAATTGTTCTCCGTAAAAGGTATTGAGCTAAATCAAACTTGTATAAAACAGACTTCAAAACGTCATCAATATTATAGCATCATAGCATAGAAAATTAGTATTCTTGTGAGTAAATGGAAAAATAAGCAGCGGGAAAAAAACACTAAAAAAAGCAAGAAAAATAAAGCATCGATGAAAAGGAAACTGAAAAAAAAAAAAAAAAAATCGCAATGCAAATCTGAGCCCAAAAATTCGAATATAGTTAAATATTATCTTAAAAAATAATAAAATAAAAACTATTTTAAATTTTATTGAAAAAATATTCTTAAACTAAGATTTTAATTAAATTATAAAGAATCTGAAGAAGTTCAAAATGGCCACAATTCCAATACTTTCCCCTATCGTATTGTGATATAACAATCATGTGCAAATATAATTTTAAAAATTGTTACAAAATGAAACACTTTAATTTTGTTAATTTTAACTTAAGGCAAGATGGAAACTTATGTATTAAATATTATAATACCACCATAGACGAAAAATAACTACTAAAAATAAATAAATAAAATAAAAACTGTTCTTAAATACAATCTTAAAGGGACTTTTTTTCGAGCATTTTTTCCTCTTTTTTTTCGTGATTCTTTTTCACGATTTTAATTTTGTCTTCAGAACATTAAGTTATACACATTTATTACTCATAGCTAACAGTGAAGTAAACAAGGAATATGCATCTGATATAAATATTAAATGATACTCATAGAAATCATAATTTCTAGAGAGAAGTCTGCAAAAATAGTATAATTGGGCATGCGCCTGTTGCCATTGGTGAATATTTTGGTGAAGAGGTTTTTGCTTAGGTAGGTCACTTGGCTGGACTCCTCTCGTGGGGAGGGGGTATAGCGACGGCAAGATTTTATCCTCCTTATTACTTCCTTGGGGGTCATTTAATTGGTGCAAATGGACGATATCAACGAAATTCTTTGGATTAATCAGTTTATTCTTTAAAAAATAAAACAATACTCATAAAAGTTTGAAAAACAGAATCAAATTATGTTTTTGTTTATTTATTATTTTTTTAAAGGAAATTAAAGAAAAAAAAACAAATGAGCTTTATGGGTGTTACAAGGGTCCAATCCTTTAAGGGGGGATGAAATTAAAATATACAGTCACAAAAGTTCGCTAACACAAGGAAAAAATGTCTTATACCTGAAAAAAGATGAATTATTTTTATCTTCTTGTTTTAAACTTTGATAAATTAAAATCAACAAATGTTGATGAAAATTTTGTTTATTTGTCTGAAATATTGAGAGATTTCAAATTATTGAGGGGGACCTGCAGTCTTTCTAAATCACACATTTCGAACTGCGTCCTGTAGTATAAAAAACTATTCAATATTTATTAATATGAGAGTTTACCTTGAGAAAGAGGATCACTTTTTAGCAATTTTGTTTTGGGTGAATCGTTTGAAATCAAAGAAGCCTGAGTCTGGTTCTGCTGAATGGCCTGCGTCTGAATAGAAGGGCCACCAGACAACTGGGTCATGTCCAAATGCTGATCCTCGAAAGTTTGACCACTGCCTACAGAAATCAAGAAAGTATCTCGAACAGTCACATGGCCCACTAGAAAGAAAATGATTATTATCAGCAAATTATTACATAGCATTAATGAAAACTTCATGTTTCACTTCCATTGGTAGTTCAGAAAAAAGAATTCAGCTAAACTTAAGAGTAAACCAAAAAGTTACACATGCTGGAAATATGTTTTCAAAATTTAAAAATGCTAACAAATTTCCCACTGCACTGTTAGAATTTTCATTATAAAATAACAGGCAGCAGTATGTTCATCAGACAAACTGTAAAATTTACAATAAGGAATATTTACCTTACGGTTTTGAAACAGTTTGTAACTAGCATGGTTATAAAACAATGACTACGAAACTAAACGGTTTTTCAACCATTTACAACTGGGATACTTTCAAAACCGTAAAAAATTACATTTAACTGGACATAGGAGCTAAGTTTTTCGTTGGGTAATGGGTATCGGAGAGTGTAGGACAGAAACGGAGGAGTGTATGACACTGTGTTGAAATAGTGTGGTGTCCAACGCTGGGACTCGAATTCCAGTTCTGACAGTCATGAGACTGACACATTAGAGCTTATAGTATGCAAGAAGGGCTTCATTAGGTGGGTGAGATAAAATTCTTTTAAACTTATAAGGTGAAAGCAGTTAACAACCGGCTTTTCTCACAGTTTAGTTACCATCTTATTTATGGTTCTTTTATTGCTTTCCTTGAATATGGCAAAATAACAAATAATTTGCTGTTTAACCATTTTTTCCCTAGAAATTTTTTAACACCGTGAGTAATCCTGCCATAATATGACTGCATTTTGAAAAAAAAAAAAATCTTTTTTTTCCACATTTGAAAATCCATGGTTTATTTCAAATTACCTGAAATCACTTTTTCGAGACTAAATTACTTTACGTCGATGAAAGAATTTGTCACGTTTCTCCCGCTGTATAGCATTCTCTTAATACACTGACATAATGAAAATAAATTTTACGAGCCTTTGTTATTATGAACATGCACTACCGTCAAGTGGGGTTATTTTGCACACCGAAGCAATTTTGCTCATCCTTTAAAGTTCTTTTTCGAAGGCTTCGTCGTCATATGAAATGCTTTTTTTTGGTTTTGTTTTTTGCAAATAATATGCCAATTTCATAACTGCTGTAAGTTTGCAACAGTTACTCGTGACTGTTAGAAGTTTAGCCTATCAAAAGCTAGTACTAACTATACTTAGTCTGAAAATGCCGCAAAACGTCAATACAGAGAAAAGCTATCGTTTTGTGGAAATGAGACGAGTTTGTGGTCTTATTTTTTAATATTTAAGGCTGGAGCCGTGGTAGCTCTGGCGATAGAACGCTTGTCTTCAATGAGGTGAACCGGGTTCGAACACCAGCGAAGGCTGGTCGATACGAATTCCGCAACCCGGCTAGCACCGACCACAGTGCTGACGTAAAATATCTTCAATGATCAAGGGTTAGTCTCCTTGCTGTCAGGGCAAACCGTGTGGGGGTGCTTAACCATGTAAAGCAAATGTGGGTTAGTTCTATCAAAAAATCCTCCACGAAGTCAAATTTCTCCCAATACTTGATCTAGGCATCCCCTTGTCTTCTGGATTGGGTTCAAAATTATAAGGCTACGGAGGTGAATACTGGTAGTTGGTAGTCCTAAACCCAAAAATAGAGTCGGCTGTTCAACGACGGTTATAAAATTATCAAATATTTAAGACTGCATTATACGGGCTCTAAAGATTTTCTAAAACTGAAACTAAGGCAGTGATTTTGATAATTTTCTTCAAGGTGAAAAAATGTCGCTAAATTGGTGATTTTTTTAAAAAAAAAAAAATTTAACTTTTAAAATATTTAAGTTCTGTTCTAAGGCCCGGATAATTCTGCCCAGAAAGATACAGAGCTTCAGAAAGATAGTTAAAAGAAATTTGTGCGGCGCAAGCAGTTACTCACTGGCTCTGTAATAAATCAGAGCAGTTGGTTGTACTGTTGGCAAGGTTCCATTTAGTGATAATTTAATAAATAAATAATTGGTTAAGTGACTGCTGAACAAAGAATATCAGCACTCACTCAACCACGTATCAAACTTTGATCCATTAAGCCCCACAGTTATTCCTATTATCACTGTGTTACAGAAGAATAACTATTGTTTGTTTAGAAGAATGTTTTCATAAAGTTTTATAATTGGACCAATGCCTCAAGAATAGTCTCCAGCAATGAGGAAGGTACTGGCTTTTCTACTCACAAGTTAAGATGAAACTATGGGAATGGAACAAAGCAGTAAAATTGATAAAAGATCCCCACTACAACTGTTACTTTTCTCAGCAAAAGAGTTTCCAAAGGATCCTAAGTTTAACTCATTTAAGACCCGTGATGAAACTCCCTTCATGTATCACGTGTGAAACGAGCCTTTCTGACTCCAGCAGCTCAACATCACACCGACGTTTCCTCGTATTTCATCTCGTAGTATTAAAGGGTGCAATCATGTGCAAGATTCAAATAATAATATAACACAAGCAAATAGTACAAATTTATTGACAAAAATTAAAGATGTGTTAATGGTAAAGTATAAATAACTAAAATTGGAGCAACCCTTTTATTCAACTCTGATAAATTCCCAAAAGAAGAGGCCTTTCAATATGTCTTCGTTATCCTACTTTATCCTTCAATTTCGAACAAAAACGTGACCTCTCCTCGATATATCGAATCGATTCTCCATACGAACAACAAAATGATGGAGTCGATAGTTTCCTGTTCTAACACATCAATATATTCGATGTCAAAAAATACTTTCGGTAAGCAAGACCCTTTCGCTGACGGAAATGATGGTTCAGATGAGAAAGTATTTTCTTGCTTTTGATGTCATCTTTTCTCCGACGCGGATTCAAAGGAGGGTGGTATCTTTTTGGACAACGAAATTGAGCTTTTTACACCATTTCATTTCATTTAGATGTAGTTATCTTCGTCACTTAATGCACCTTAGGATAGGAAATTATATCTGAGAACTTATTACAGTTTTTCTTTCAAGTTGTATTAATTTAGTTATCAATTACTTAAAAATGAGTTGAGAGTTAAATAGCTTGGAAATGAATACTATTATTTTAACAAGATTTATGCTAAAAGTCAAATTTAATAGTTATGTCATTTTGCTATCTCTGATCAAAAGTGTGACTGAGTCGGGGGATATCTCTGTAAAGAGAAAGATAATGAAAAAAATAAATTAGGGAAATTTATTCGTTATAGAATCAAAAACCAAATTAACAGAGAAAAATAAATCTCATGAAAGAGGAAACGATTTTCACTACTAAAAAAGCCTTCAACTGAAGGCCATCTAGCGGTAAAAAAAAAATAAAAGAAAATTATTTGCATTGAGTGAGGAGATTCTCATGCAATCGAAGTGGAATTCGTACCAGGGGAATTTCATACCTGACGTCAATTCTCGCCCACATTCAAAAGGAATAATTTGAAAAGAAACATCACAGGTTAACCTTCACCCTTACCAAGCGATGGAGTCATCCTATCGCATCGTACAATACAATAACAAATTAAAAGTCACCATAATTACTGACTCGCCGTTTCATTTATTCTCGAATTATTCGTCGAAAAACTTACTTATGTGAGACCTCCACTTTCAGACAAATGGGGACGTTATAATAGCCCCGAAAATTTAAAAAGTTGCAAATGAATGGATATTGCATGTGGGTCTGAAAATCACTCTTAGTTAGTAAAATATAAAATAATGTTTATTCGCACCCCATAGCCATTCACAATAAAATGATTACGCGAAAAAATGGTAACAAATTTAAACTACAATTAAAGCTAAATTAAAAAAAAAAAAGAGCAGGACAAAGAAATGAAAAGATTGCTAAGACAATCACTGCCTTTAAACTACAATTATCAATAAATAAATAAAAGAACAAGCCCCTCACAAAATCCCCAAAAGTAAAAACCTTATATAAAATAAGAACAATAATTCATCGAAACAGTATTTTTAAATATTCGTTGACTGGATTAAATCGGAGGCAGAAAGTTAAAGAAAAAGTTGAAGACATTAGTAAGCACTTTTAATGCAAGTGAAAAGTTTGATGAATTTGACATTTTCTTTTACACAGTGTCAAAAAAATTATATAACTCTACCAATTTAAATTAATGATATGTTAACATTATGCTCTAAAAAATGCTTTATTTTTTTATTCAAACAAAAAAAAATTTTTTTTCAGTTTTATTTTTCAATATTTATGAATCAAAGCTGCAAAGCTCTGATAAAAAACGTTCATGGGTGCCACTCTAAAAAAATTTCAAGACTGAATTTAGTTTTAGCTTTAGAGCAATTAAGATGATTTTTTTTTAATCAATTTAAATACGTTATAATATCATTGCAGTTATGATTGACTGCTATGCAACTTCCTCTGACCACCAGTTTGCATGCTACAAAAAAAAAGAAAAAAAAAAGATTTTTTTTCATGATATTAACATAACATACCTTTATTTTTCAATAATTTAAACGATAGGTGCTTGAGTTACCTTTGAGCAAAAGTCTTCCTTTGAGAAAAAAATCATTAATTCATAATTTTAAATGTACAATTCCTTAAAAGTGATTCCTGTTTTGTTTTTTTTTCTTTTCAATCAATAACAAACCTCATTCTAACACATTTTTTTAAAAAAAAAAGGGGGGGGGGGACATTACCCTGGCGATATAGATTTTAAGCTAATTTTAGACTTGGAAAATTATGAACAGTTTTTTCCAGATTGGAAAGACAAACAGGATGTTTTACAAAAAGACTTCACTGTGATCACCAATTTTTGTTCATTTTTCCCAAAATGGCAAAATCGTGACTATTTTCACACTATCCCAAAATTATGAGTAGATTTTTAACTATTTTATAAAAATACGGCCTTTCGATCTACCCCTGGATATATTATTCCAAAAAACTACAGTAGGTTCAAATTTTCGGATCTTGAGCAAGATAGCACTTTCACATTTTCGAATCTACGTCTACATTTTCCATGCTTATTAACGGGTTAAGATATTTTTCTTTTTTTTACACCT